TTGCCATATGCTGTCAAGTCACTCCCAGCTTATGAATACCCTAAGAATTAAAGATCTCCAAAAAGTTGTGTTTTTGACAGCCCTGCACATGTTGTGCAGACTAAAGACTATGGCTTGTTTATTGAATTAATCATTACATTGACCACATGATCACACAATCTTCTTTCTCCCCACCTAAGGCAATAGCAGCATGTGATTTTCTTATTTTGAACAGGACTTCTGTTCCCTCCTCCTCTTCCCTTACTGCCGAGGCTGTGCCAAACTGTTGCCAGGATGCCTTTTCCTGTGACTATGGCCTGTGTACCCTTGCCATTAGGAGTGGCTTAGACTGGGCTAAACAGGTCACTAGGAGGTCTGCTATACCATTTGGAGTAATACTCACATCCAAATGGCATACAGACCTCAAGCAACCCTGTTTGCTCCACGGCAGCCTGCTGTCAATTTCCTAAAAGTGGTTTAAGAGAGCCACTTCACAATATTGGCAAATTAATAACTTCCTCAGTTCCACAGAGAGATTTTTGAGTGCGTATTAGGACAGTGAATATTCACTTAAAAGACCAATGGAAAGCAAATGTATAATAAGAAAGCAAGTGTGTATTTTAACAGCAGGCAAATAGACAGCAGGCTACGTTTCACTACCTTAATAAACTCTTCTCTTCTTAAGCTGCTTCACGATATTGGCAAATGAGAGGAAGGATCGTTTTTGAAAAAGTTGTGTGTGACTGCTGCAGAAGGAAGAGGAGAGGAGGAATGATCAACTGGATCAGAATCATGGTGGAAGAGGGATGATGGGGAAAAGGGCCCCAACATGAGGCACTCCACAGCCTCATCAACAGGGCAGGGGAGGGGAAGGAGGTAGAAAACATGTGATCATATGGCATCAATTGCCCCAAGAAAACGTTCCAAATGCTTCTAGTCCATCGAAATCCAGACCTTGAGCCCCTCAAGAATAATTCTGCTAATGTAGAAATATATAACATTCAAAGATTGCTTTTTGAGAGTTGCTAAATACAACAGTTACATTTTTCTTAAAAGGATACTGCCCCTTCATACAATCCTTTACGGAGTGACAATCAGGATGAGCAAATCTTCAGATGCTAACGGTGGTTTATGAGATTACTAAGCATACACTCACCCTTTCTTTTGCTAGTTTCTTCATTTCTTCCTGTAACTTGTTCAGTATGTGTAAATTTGGCTTGTTCTTTTTGGCATACTGCTGAAGCTCTATCACACTTTTATCCGACGTCTCCTGCATAAAAATGCAATAATTAAAGACTAAAAGAAGAACTCACGGGGAATAGCTAGGAGATCTTACCTTGCCAGAGGCCATACTGTAAATCTACAGCTGGACTATGTGCTGAACAAAAATTGGTGAGGGAGTGGATCATAGGTTGAACTAAATTGCAGGCCTTAAGACAGTAACTCTCTACTTCATAGTGTTAATGTGAAAAATATTTTGAAATAAAATAACTCAGTGTTTAATACAAGCTAGGGCTTGTAATTTCTTTCCTATGTGCCTGCTATTTCTGCTTTCTCAATAAATATACAACTAAATCCCTAGCAATTAAGAGGTGAATTTGATTATAACATTATGCCACTTTATTTCAATTGATTGTAAGTTTTTGAAGCTGGTGGATGAAATAGCATCTAGCTTTTCTGCCTTGGTTGCTAACACACACACACACACACACACACACAAACGTATGTATGTATGTATGTATGTATGTATGTATGTATGTATGTATGTATGTATGTATGTATGTATGTATGTATGTATGTATGAATGCATGCATGCATGCATGCATGCATGTGTACATAGATATATATGTGTGTGTACCCATACACACACACACATACATACATACGTTTGTGTGTGTACTGTGTGTGTGTGTACACATAAGACAATATTTAAAGCTAAAACAGTAAGTATATTTAAAACAGTAAGTATACAATGACTAAAAAAAAATCAAACCAATATCCCATAAAAGACAGTAAACCAAAGCAACACCAGAACACATTCAAAGCTATAAAACACAACCATCCATCTAAAAACCTCACTCAGGCAGCCAGTCATTAAGGGAAAGCTTGACAGAAGAGATAGGTCTTCATCTGCTTTAAAAAGGACAGGAAAGAAGGGGCCAGCCTGACACCCTGTGGGAGGGGAGTTCCAAAGTCTGGGAGTAACAACAGAGAAAACCCACCAGATATACCTGTGAGGATGGTGAGATTGAAAGGCCTTGCTGATGATCTCAACATCTGGGTAGACCCATAAAAGGAGATGTGGCGCTTGAGATAGCTTGGACCTAAACTGTGTAGGGCTTTATGGATTAGAATCAGCACTTTGAATTGTGCCTTGAAATGGATTAACAGCCAGTGGAGCTGCTGTAACAGCACGTTCTTCGTGGCCTCTGTAAAACACACTATGGGTAATCTGCGCATGCATGGAGCCTAGTTGGAATATTCTAGAGCTTCTGCAGAAGCAAAGGAAAATACATTAGCATAGACCTCCTCCCTCCCTCGTATATGTACCTTGGTGCCAAGGCTCTCCCTTCAGTTTCTTTCAACTGCCTCGATCGTTGCTTCTGTGAGAAATCTGAAAACGAAAGTAGGAAAGTTATTGAACTTTATTTATTATTATTATCCTTATTGTTTTCAAAACAAGTTATGCTCTGGCCTTAGGGCTGAAGTGTCCCCCCTCCTCCTTTCCATTGTTTTCTTTTCAAAATCGGTTCTCGGTTCATGGCCTTTTCAGGCCCATTTAAAAGCTGCGTAGCCTGCGATAATGAGATCCTACTCTCAGACGGCCTTCCTAAATACTGTACCTTTTCTGCCTCAGTGAGGCCATCAAACGTCTTCGTTCCCCTCGCTGCAAAAACTTTAAACACGGAGTTTTCCGCAGTTGCCTCTCTAGACTCAATCTTCGGCTCTGGGAGCAATCCCTAAAGCCATGGATGAAGCTGTTCCGAAGCGACAAATCAGCACCTGTCAGCAATTCCATCTCGTTCCAATCATTGATAACCTACTCTGCCCTCGATATCGACAGTCATGCAAGTGCACAAAGCCAAACATTCGACGTTGAAACGCTCGACATCAAAAACAGCCTCTAAGAGAAAACTGCCCATGGATGCTTCCTTAGCACAGGAACCATCACCTCCAAAGAAGGCTAAGTCTTCAAAAGCGAAGCCGTTCAAAACTGTTTCCCCGACTCCACAACCACCAGAGTCTAGAAACCTCATCTATGTTGCTTCTCTTTCAGATGGGGAGGCACTTCCATCTCATCACCTCACCACTGCAGTCTCCTCAATGGGAACAGCATACTATTTTCCTCTCCATTAGGATGACCACGAGTGCTCATCCCGCTCAGCGTCACCGGCATCTCTCTATTCCACCATAATACAGTGTGGTCCCTCAATGCCTTTACCACCTTGACAGCTCTCTCGACACTGACAACAACCTCCATTTCAACACACTTCGATACCTACCCTTTTGATATTGATGATCCTTGATACTGACCACTGTCCATGGATGCACCTTCCCTGTCAGCAGCAGTTGAAGACCCTCGCTATCGACCTCTGTCCACCAATACCCCTTCAAAATCAACAGCTTGGCGTTGACACCAGTATTTTGAGGACCAGCTGCTCAATGTCGATATAGATCGATAGTTGATTGACTCAACACATGATGCCAATCCATCTGATCATGGTTCCAGGCCTCAAACACCATCAGGACTTTTAACATTGCCAGATTCTGACACAGACCCTCCATCACCAGTAGAGGATTTTCAAACCTATGATCAACTAATTATTTATATGGAGAAATACCTCGACCTACAAATCCATAGACCCACTACTGGAGAAGCAGATCATCTTTATTATCCCATCTCTAAAGATATCATCTCACCAGTCCATATCTCCATGCTCCCTTCTCTCCTGAGCACAGTTAGACATTCTTTGACCAAACCAGCATCAGCTAGCCGCCTAGAGTGGTCGCAATGACCAGATAGGTGGGATATAAATAGAATAAATAAATAAATAAATCATCACATTTGGTGTCAAAACACATAGACAATCTTTATCGAGTACATGATCTGGGCAGTCTTTTACAGAAACAACCAGCTCCCAATTCCATATTCATCAAAGCTTCACAATCTCACTCTCGACACAGACAAATACTAATTGTTGTTGTTTAGTTGTTAAGTCATGTCCGACTCTTTGTTACCCCATGGACTAGAGCACTCCAGACCCTCCTGTCTTCCACTGCCTCCTGGAGGCCTCACAAATTCTAATACCACCTAACAAAGACAGCAGACACATTGACTCCATGGGCAAATGGCTATACTCTTCTTCCGCCTTCACCATGACAGTTGCCAACTATCAGAGAGCTATGGGTGCTTACCAATGTTTTCTCTGTACAATATGTCTACCTTTATTGATGCTCTCCCCGAAGATAAAAGGGTCTTAGCACAAACTTTTCAACAAGAGGGTCTTTTGATGGTGAAACAACAGATGCTATCTGCTAGACACACAGTTGGTGCCACGCCTAAATCAATGGCTATCTCTGTAGTGCTTCTATGTTTCTCTTGACCTAGAACCGCAGGTCTAGCTAAGGCCGCACATGCACGCATTAAAGATCTCGCATTTGATAGAGCTGGTCTCTTCAATGCAGAGACTGATGACATTCTTGAGAACATTTTTTAAAAAGGACAGCTGCCAGGTGTTCAGGAGTCTACCCCACATACCAGCAATGCCCTTGGCACAATCAGTGGTACAGCCCTTACACCTTCTATCAAAAATTTCAACAAAAACCTCAAAGACAAACATCTTATGTGCCTTACTACAAACAACAACCTTACCAAGCCAAACCTTGCCAATAAACTACAACTACACGCAATGACCTTAGGCCTAAGCATCATGTTTGACATCCAACCAGCCGAGATCCCAATACCACCTCCCACCTCTCCTCCTCCCCTTTGGAAGCACTTACCTACATGGAAAGACATCACTACAGATGCCTGAGTGCTCTCCATCATAAGAAACTGATACAGCATTAAATTCCACCAGCTTCCTCCACCGTCACACCTCTGTCGCAAACTCTACAAAAAGGAATACAGTCGTTACTACTCAAAGATACCATAGCCACTACAACACACAGTTTTTCTTTCGCTATTTCACCATCCCCCAAAAAGATGGAGGCTTTTGGTCCATCCTCAACCTCAGGGAGCTAAATCAATACATCACTACCACCAAGGTCCGCATGGTTACTCTCAAGTCTGTCCTCCCCTTACACCACAGAAAAGACTGGTTTGCAGTCATAGACCTAAGAGACGCCTATTTTTCATGTCTCAATTCATCCCCACAGGCCCTACTTGACAGGTTTGAGATAAACCTGGAGAATTATTAAATCCAGTTTTGTATAAAAGCAATCAAAGACTATAAGTAAGGATCATTACTAAGAAAATAAGTAAAGCAAGAATTTATGTAGCTGGGCTAATACATAGACTCGTATCAGCTGAGAGAGCAAACCCAGAGCAAACCCTAACCCTGGGATAAAGCAAGCAGACTCAGCACACATACCCTGTTGTGTTGTGGTGGAGTGCTCGTGGAAGATACTGTGTCGTCGTGGAGAATACTGGAGAAGGACTCTGACTGCTGGACTGAATTATATGGCATATGACTATTGAATTGATTTACAAGGACTTTGACCTGATTTATGCCTGAACTCTGTTGGAACTGCTGTGTATGACCACTGGACCGGAAACAAGGACAAAGCTGTGTATGTGTATGTACATATTCTACAAATAAATTGAGTTAATACAACATTTCTGCTATCAACCCTGTCTTATTGCTTGGTGTCTTAATCTCTCTGGGGAATACTACTGGTTAGCGCCACCTAGTGCCTCCTGGTAATACTGCAACTCTGTCAATGGTTATGGGCCCAGGTATACGCCCAGGAAACAGCCAAGGTAATTGCTGACCTGAAAGAATCCAGAAGAAGTGAGCCAAGACGAGTACAAGCAGCAAAAGTGAGTAAAACAGCTTTGTCTAAAGTCTGTAAAAATGGCCAGTGAAATAATGATGTCAGGACTGAGTATAAAAAAGCTAAATGGGGAAAACTACTCCACTTGGCAGCAGAAGGTCCAGCTAATTCTCCAAAAAGAGTCATTATGGGACATAGTTGAAAATCCATCAGCTGTGTTAAATGATGAAAACAAGGTACAGAACTGTAAAGCACTTGCAATAATTGGGTTGACTCTAGAAGACCGTCTCCTAATCCATCTTAGAGGCCTAATGTCTGCAAAGCAGGCATAGGAGGATCTAAGGGGACTCTTTGTAAGAGCTAATGTTGGAAGTCAAATAAAAATTGCAAGAAAATTATTCCATACCTGTCATGAGTGCTTCTGAAGACCTGGACCCAGAAGGGTTAACTGTGGCTGAAGAGAATGTGGAGAGATCAGAAACACCTGAACCGCCTCCAGATTCTCCCTCCACAGCAGACAGGCTTTGGGGCAGGCTTCGGGAAAGACTCAGGACAAGAAGATCAGAGGATCGCTCAAAGCCTTTCCACAGAGACCTACGTTCATCTAGTCCTGAGTATTAGCAGGATAGAAAGCTTTCCAGCAGCTCAAGGAGCTGTTTCATTATAAAACAGCTTCCAGTGAAGCCAGAAACTTCGTGGAAGCAAAGAGTCAAAACCTTGGTTTGCATCCACGCTTCTTGCATTGTGTTCCTGTCTCTGGACTTTGACCCTGGACTGCGCTGGTATTGGACTCTGGACTTTGGCCTTGGACTACGCTGGTATTGGACTCTGAACTCTGACCCTGAACTACACTGTGTATCGGACCCTGGACTTTGACATTGGACTTCATTCTGTAAGTTGGTTTCTGGACTTTGGCTTTGCATTCTTGATATCTCTGACCCTGAACTGGTTTATCGGACTTCAGCTATTGTAACCTCCGGGAATGTGACAGTACCAGATTACAAACTGGTGAGAGCATGTTACAACATTTAGAGCAAATGAAAACAATGCTCATGGATTTAAGAGAGAAGAATATAGTATTTACAGAGCTACAAGAAGCTTTCATAATTCTCTCTTCATTAGGCAAGACATATGACCAATTCGTGACAAATTTAGAGGTTCTACCCCAAGCTGAACTGACAGTATTGAATGTTACCAGTAGGCTTTTGGAGGAGGAACAGAAGAGGAAAGATAACTTGCAACTCTGTGACTCTAAACCCTCTAATCAAAGAAACAAGCCAAGTGAACTCGAGGAGAAGGAAGTCACAGCTGCAATTATTCAACCTGGAAGGCGATGCTTTGCCTGCGGTTCCAGAAAACATCTGATAAGAAATTGTAAATCTAAAAAGAGAGAAAGAAAACCGCCACGACATGATGATGAATCACATCTGACAGAGACTATTTATAACTCCAAACACCACAATGAAGAATGGATTGTTGACGCAGGGGCAACTGCAAGGATGTGTAAAGATAAGAAGCTGATATTCAATTTTCAAGCAGTATTTAATCAGCAAGTATTTTTGGCTAATGGTGTAAGTGCCAAAATTATGGGTAAAGGTAAAGTAAAACTACCATGTTTAACACAGCCAATTGATGTAATATATGTACCTAAGCTAAAGCATAATTTACTATCAGTTATCTCATTAGCAAAAGAAGGCTTTACAAGCACATTTTTCAAGAGCAAATGTGTTATTACAGGAGAAAATAATGAAAAGCTAACTTGTTATATTAGAAACAATTTATACAGGTTGAACAGTGTGAATGCAAATAACGTTTATGAAAATGTATGTCCACATACATTTTCATAGATTACTACAGATGCCAGCTTTACCGGATGGGGTACCCATTGCAGATCCTTGCAAATCCATGCCCGGTCGTCAAAAAAAGAGAAACTCCTCCATATCAACAAGCTAGAACTCTTAACACTAATAAAAGCTTGCAAAGCTTTCAAAAAACATCTTGTGGGCAAAACTGTTCAAATGATAGGGCACACCCACCATATACCTCTTTGCCTCCCAAGTAAACTGGAAATACAAGCGTTACTGCTCCCACACAGGAGTAGGCAAGTACTCCCGCGGAGACGCATTCATCATCCATTGGCCCAAGTCACTCATTTATCTGTTTCCACTGTTCCCACTACTCCACAAAGTTGTAGTCCGGTTTCAGCAGGACAGGCCCAATACTATCCTAATAGCTCCATGGTGGCTGCGACAGCCATGGTTCCCAATTCTCAACCAGCTGTCATCTGACATTTATTACCTGCTTTGTCTACCTCACCTGCTCATACAGAACAAAAATCAAATTCTCCACCCAGATCTCCCTGCTCTTCATCTCGCAGTGTGGAGGATTCAGCCTCACTGATGAATATCATTCATCATGCAAAGAAACCTTCAACCAGGAAGGCCTATACATATAAATGGGGGAAAAATTCAAGCTTTTACTGCACCGTCATCTTTTTCCTCAACCAACTCCTCTCTTAACACCGTCTTATGTTTTTTTTTTAATTGCAGTTAAAAATTAAGGGTCTTTCTCGTCCCTCAAGGACTACATTTTTACAATTGTGGCTTATCAACTACCAACCTCTCAGGCATCTAAGTTTTTCAGGCACCCAACTCTTATGCTTCCAACTCGGAATGCAAGGGGCTATCATACCTCTACCACAGATGTCCACCTTCCACCACCTTAGTGGTCACTGACATTGGTCCTTTGACAACTTATAGGGGCTCTGTTTGAGCCCCTGGTATCAACGGACCTCACATTACTTACCTTGAAAACGATATTTCTTGTCGCCATCACGTCAGTTTGATGTCCTAGTGAACTTGTGGCCTTAAGGTCTGACTACCCTTATCTCCAGTTTTACCCAGATAAGGTTAAACTTTTTGTAAATATTTCTTTTCTACCCAAGGTTGTCTCCCAGTTCCACCTATCCCAACCTTTAATTCTTCCTCCTTTTTTTCTATCTCCTTCTACTCGTCAAAAAAGGATCCTCCGTGCTCTGGATGTAAGACAGGCTCTGGCTTTTTACATAGCCCGCACTCAATCCTTCAGACACTCAGCTAGACTTTTTGTCAGCTGCCAACTTCCTGCCAAGGGTCTTCAATTTACCTTGCAGAGAATCTCTAACTGGCTGCATCTACCATCCAACTTGCTTATCAGCTTGCTCGAGTTCCAGCGCCACAGCGTATCCATCCTCATTCTAGGGCGTTGGTGACATCTACAGAATTTCTTCGGGGTGTTGCTGTAACAGACATCTGCGCCTCTGCCACATGGTCACAGCCGTCCACATTTATCAATCACTACAGATTGGACATTCAGCAGTAACCTGATGCTGCTTTAGGGCATGCTGTGTTATCATGTACCTTGGCATGATACCCTGTTCTGGGTATGGTAGCTTTTTAGTCAACCATACTGTGATTCACAGAGGCCACAAAGAAGTACGACAGATTGTAATTGTAGTTCTTCGAGTGGACCTTTGTGATTCATACATCCTGATCCGGCCTCTCCACTGCCATGTCCTTTTCTTTATGCGGCAATTGACCTCACTGAAGGGAGAGCCTTGGCGCCAAGGTACATATGTCAAGGGGGAGGGATCTATGCTAATGTATTTCCCTTTGCTACTGCAGAAGCTCTAGAATATTCTGACGAGGCTCCATGCATGAGCAGATTACCCACAGTGTGAATCACAGAGGTCCACTCAAAGAAATACAGTTACAGGTAGGTAACCTGTCGATTATATGATCAAATTGATAGCCATGTTTTGGACCCACTGAAGTTTCCGAACACTTTCAATGGGCAACGTCACATAAAGCACGTTATAATAATTCAGCTGTGATGTAACTAAGGCATGTATCACTGTGGCCATATGAGAACTAATTAATAAAGAGGCTTCAGACAACTAGAGGCATTCAATCAAGAGCCAGCAATTATGTTCTCACCAAATTCCCAAACTTACTGTTTCATGAAAGTGGCAAAGCCTGTGTGCAGAACATCTTCATCAGTTTTATCTCCATGTGGTCAGTGCATACAAATATTTGCAGTTTTAAAAGGCAGCTGGTTGTATATTGTTCAAATCCTTGCTGTAATTTAAAATAAGCGTAAGTCCTACCAGTTTTAGTAAAATTATGCTGCAATAACTGAGCAAAACATTTTAGCTTATGCAAGTAGAAATATTTTTCCAAAGTTAGAAGACTGTACAACTAATTCCCTTAAATCCTTCTGATCACTAAATTTATCATTCTCTCTCTCTCTCCCTCTCCCTCTCTTTCTGTGCCATTCTCTTTCACACAAACACACATTTCAGAATATTTTGCTATGGTCATATTTCTAATAAATAATTATCATCTTGTCTTCTCTGTCATTCTTGCAATACTGTTTCAAATGGATATGGGTGGGGGTTTTGGCAAAACATAAGCCTAATTAAATTAGATTTTTATCAGGCTTGCACTTTGTTACCCCTTTCAGAGGAAATATATTATTTCTACAAGAGAGAAAGACTTGTGTGTAAATAGTACATTTATTTCACCAAACAATAACTGTAGCTCTATGGAACTTACCATAGTGAATCAATCCCATTCACTTCTAGTCAAGTCAACTGTTGTACTAATTTATTTTGAGTACACTAAATCAAATAGTTTTTGTACAAGTCATCTTCATTCATACTACCGTTATTCTTCATTAACTGTGCATACCATTCACTTGCCAGCTGCTATACAATTACGATTACAGCAGTTAAATGTACTTCACTTGGTACACAGTCATTTTCACACTTTTCTTGAAAGCAAGTGTTTCCATCCATCCATCCATCCATCCATCCATCCATCCATCCATCCATCCATCCATCCATCCATTTTCTTTATACCCTACCATCATCACAACAAAGGGAATAGAGATGGGCACAAAATGTGATTTGGCAGTGAGTGTCCTCCAGCAGACACCCACTCAGAGGCAGTGATGCAACTTCCCAGCCCTGTCTCCTCTAGAGAATGGTCCTTGGAATCTCAGCAAGAAACCATGTGTTAGGGTCAAACTGTAAAATACAGATTTGGTCTAAAATCTAATAGTAAGTTGCAGTTAGAGAGGTAGGTCAATTGAACCAGCTGGAATTTGTTAAGTCAGCTCTCCTGTAGTTCAACCCTCCGATCCTGTGCCGCTTTGACAGGGACTGGATTTGCTGATCCATAGGTTGCCTTCCAGCTTTACAGTTCTAAGATGAAGATGATTACAACAAAGCAACTGTGGTGCCTCAGGGCTCCCTAAAGAGAGTTCGACAGGCCACTTACCTACCACCTTTGCGCTGGGGCAAGTCCCAAGACCTCAGTAGTGCATAGCGTAAGCCCTTTGAACAAGTAAGAACACTTTACTTTTACTCAGTACTTTGCAAGCACAGACACATGGGTTTTGTGATTCCTTAGAACTCACAACAGCTCAGTTAGGTAGGTCTCTTAAAGATAGCTAGTTTGTGGCTCTCTCCACCCCCTGGATTTAGCCAGACCCTCCTGTTCAACAAACCAGTCCTTTGTAAGAATTTTTATACTTAATTTTTATTAGAAAAATAAAGTTTCATAGAATCAGTTTATATTGCTCAAGTTTTAGGGACGTGGTGGCGCTGCGGGCTAAACTGCAGAAGCCTGTGCTGCAGGGTCAGAAGACCAAGCAGTCGTAAGATCGAATCCACGCGACGGAGAGAGTGCCCGTCGATTGTCCCAGCTCCCACCAACCTAGCGGTTCGAAAGCATGTAAAAAGGCGAGTAGATAAATAGGTACCGCCTCGGTGGGAAGGTAACAGGATTCCGTGTCTAAGTCTCACTGGCCATGTGACCACGGAAGATTGTCTTCAGACAAAAACGATGGCTCTGTGGCTTGGAAACGGGGATGAGCACCGCCTCCTAGAGTTGAACACGACTGGACAAAAATTGCCAAGGGGAACCTTTACCTTTACCTTTACCTTAGCATAAAGAACATATTCAAAGATCATTACTGCTAAATAAAATAACTATTTCCCATTAAAATAATAAACACTACTAAGCTGGGCTGAGGTGTGCTACAGTGGGCTAGCCCCACCTCCTTCTTTCTTTTTACTTACATCCTCTCTCAATCAAGTTCCTTTCTCACCCATCATCATGGAATCAAATCCAAGAACAAGACTGGATCTCTCTTTCTCTCACATAACCCATCGCCCATTTTCTACATTCTCTAACTCCTCCCTTCTTCTTGACAATTCTGGCTGTTAACCAATTAGCCTCGAGAGGCTGTAACACCTTCCTCCTCCCACTTAGTCTTCCACGGGGCCCCTTGATTCGACCTTCAGTTTTGTCTCGAACTATGCTGTAACGGTCTTCAGAAAAACATTCTCAAAGCACTTAGAAAAACACATTCCAATTTCTCTCAAATCATCTTCACACAGAATGTGTCTGACTCCATCTTACATTTCTCTGACTACATATCCCATCATCATGACAATAGTAATATAACAACACTAGATGCTAACATTTGTACATCCTGAGTTCTTTTCACCAGCACCAGAACAGGAGTGTTTGAAGAAACAAAGAAGAAATCAAATGCTTCTTTGAAGCCATATGAGAACAAAGTTCCCAGATATATTTGTTGACTAAGGTAAGGGCATCCACAATACAAAGAAAACAGCTCCAAATATAGTCTCTAAAACCCTAAAATAAAATACAGATGCAGATGCAAATACATATCACTAAGTGGATTCACCTTTCCAATGTCCTTGCTGCACAAACATATTGAAATTCTACTACCTAAATCAAAGTGGCAAGAGTCTTATCATCCTCCATGAGAACAGCAATTTCTGCCTTTCCAGCTCTCCCACTCTTTCTAACTCAGTTCCTGAATCACAGCCCTTCCTAGGATTTCCCCACCCATTGGGCTGAACCAAATAGTCCATAGGGGTTATACAAGCCCTCATCAAACTCTCTGGGTTTTGCGTCTGAGTAAATATATACACAAAAGACTGAGCTGCAATAGCTATCTGTCTACTTGAAATGAAATCAATGACCTTCACATTTTTCCATACAGTGGGATGTGGAAAGCAAAAAAAAAAAAAAAAAAAGGCACACAATGTGGCTTCACAAAAAGTGCAGAAAGGACCTTAAAAAAACAAAAACAAAAAACAAAGGGACTCATATCTGAAATGGAAGGAAAACGAGGCCACAAAGGAAGAGAACAGACAGGTAGGGGATATTTCTAGGAAACTTTAGGTAATGTACTTTCATTTCATTCAGACTCTTGTCGCTGCTTGATTCATACAAATCTACCGTAGCTTCCTGTAGACAGCAAATGAAGCAGCAGGCAGGTTGCATTTATCCTATGTTGAGATGAAAAGCTGATTATGTAGCTGAGTGCAGATGAGGGGGAAACCTCTCAGAGATTAGGTTTTGCTCTCCATGTGCCCTACATTGCTGACTGACATAATAATTTCATGGTGGTTATTTTACATGTGGTCATTTCTCCTCTTTACGGGAACAATTGCACGTGGTCTGCTTATTTCAAGAAGAATAGCCTACATGACACTCATGGAAACTTTGAAGTGGTCAGCAGTAATATTGTAGTAAAATATGTCTAAGCCTACAGAATGCTTTATCATATCTGCATCTGAAGGACTCTGGTCATGATCCATACAGTTTATTTTACGAATTTGTATCTTCTCAATGCACTGGTAGCCATATAATAATGATGATGATGGCTGTCCTGTATGTGCTGTTCAACAGCATCCCCTGGTGATGTATCACTAACTCTTTGAAACTGCCAACAGCCATGTCACATGGTATGCCTACCAAATATGTTTAGCTCCTTTGATAATTTTCTGCCTTGTGATCTTGAGTTAAACTTCTGTTCTTGACTAGGAGGCTTTGGGTAGGCTGCTACTGGTCTTCCTCAGCTGCCTGGTGTAAAAAAAGTAATAATGAGGGTGTGCTGCACAGAACTGTTGTGAGTGGATAAGGACTGTACAGTACTGGGGAAAACAACAACAACAGAGATACACATGGGCTGCGGCCCACAAATGCTTAGGGGTTAGTATTTCATGGTACTACAAGACTTTTCATTATTTCTTCTGTAACAGCCTAATAGAGGCAGCACTATCGATTTCTTTTAAATGCTTCCGTTTTAAAAATAATAAAAGCAGCTGAACAGTCCTAAGAACTTTTATTGATGTTACAAATTTCCTTGAAGGACTTTGATCATACCTTTAAAGCACAAGCTTTGAGCTGTAGTCGCCATAAGTCAGAATTGACTTGACAGCACATGGCTATACTAACTCCCATCGAATATAGTGCAACTTGCATGTCATCATCATACACCCTCCAAATTGTACTTGCACACACACACACACAGCCATGGGCAACGAATGACCCATTTACTTTTTTGAAAGCGTCTAACAAGCTCTGGGTGGGCCATACATTTAATAAATTAAAAGCCTGTGGAAGTCATGCATTTTAAATTGTCCCTCTTCTGAGGCGAGAGGAGCAACTCTGTGGACTGTTCAACAAAATAAAAATAGATATAATTCAAGGCCAGTGTTTGAATGGAGATACCCCCCCTCCTCCTTTACAAACTCCATTAGGAACTCAAAGGCTTTCGATATTTATTTTATGAATTAATATTTTTGCCTGACCTAAAGAGATCCCACAGAATCGAACGAGGGTGGGTGGGAAGGCGTTGAGCTGCTGCCGAGTCGTAAGCACAGCCTGGGTTTAAGCACTGGCATATTCACATGCCCTCATATTGAACTGCCTATGGGTGTCTATGTGCGCTTGTCTCTCTCCGAGGGTCTGTCAGCCCCCTCCCGACCGCTTCCTTCATTGGCCTGGCTGGCGTCCTCTACTGGAGCGCTATTGGTTTTCTCAACAAGCCGGGCGACTGCTCGGGCCGCGGATTGGTCCGGGGTCCTGTCAGTTTCCTCGTGGGGAAGCTGCCGCGCGCACACACGCACAGCCTTTTTTTTCTGCTGTGAATGAACCTTACAAGGCGAGAGAGAGAGTTTTTAAGGGGCTGGGGGGTTTGGACTGCGAGGCGGCAGCCG